TTTTTTTAGATAAAATCAAAAGAAAATAAAGAAAAAACAGCAATTCATGAAATAATTTGTATAGGACAACTTTTGGAGAATTTCGCCACTTGTATTATGTGTTACGGCAAGACGGACAGACATTTTTCAAATATACAAGAATGCCAATTAATACGTTTGATTACATTTTGCCAAAAATTTAGCCAATTTCTTGAAAAACGCGTTTTTTCACAATTGCAAACATTTAAATAAATTGTAAACAATTCATCACAGCAAGCGATTCGTCTTTGAAAACAGTACCGCACTGTTTCAAGCTGACCGCTTGCGCAACGTCTTCATCTTCGTCTTCGTCTTTGCTTGCACTGTGATCACTTTCATATGTTTACTACTGCACTGTTTTTCGTCTTCGGTTTCGTCTTCATCTTCGTCTTCGGCTTCGCTTCCACTCTGTTTGCAACCTAACAGCCATGATTCAACTTTTATTGCCACAGTGTGCATTGTGGGCGACGAATCGCGGAAAGCATTGAACAGATTCGCGTGTATTTGCCTAGAAGTTGCAAGCGAATATCAAGCGGATTTTGGCTTGTACATACATACATATACTTCTTTTTTGTTCACAGTCAGCCATGTTGCAAACGCAAAAATCCATTTTTTTAGATTTTTCATTATTTCCTTTCGTGTTTTTCATTACACATTCACATAAACATTTCTTTTTTTCAAATTTTTTCAGCATTTTTGCACGCTCCCAATATTTTTTGCTGTGTCGCTGACAAATTGCTGAGGCAATCTTGTTGCATGCAGCATGCAACTTAGCGGAACAGTATACATACAAATATAAATATTGAGTATATGTGCATTAGATGGTACCACCTTACAAGCAAATAAAAAAATACCCATTCTGCAAGGTAATTTCAAAAAACAAAATTTCGTGAGCCTAGGGGTCTTTGTTTTATTTTTTGTGTGAAATATTTCCACTGAAAAAACTATTCTGGTGGGTAAGTAGATACTAGAACGAGATAAAAGTTAATGAACTTTGGAGCAAAAAAAAACTGTTGCCCCCCAGGCAAGTAAATCGATATATCATACTGTAAATGCCGAAGATATAACCAAAATTTCCAAAGTGCGTTCGGCAAAAAAAAAAAATAAAAAATAGAAAAAAATACTCAGCGGTGTACGGCGAACTCTTTTTTTTCGGTACGGACTAATGTACATACTTATGTAAAAAAGTATATACAAAGTTAAGTAAGCAATGTGTGGGTTGCGAAAATGTGATTACTACCAGTTTCTGGTGGACAAACTATCACCGCAGTGAAACTCAACTCAGCTTGGTCAACTCAAATTGCGTACTCATGTGACAGATGAGAGTGACGTTTCTATTTTTAGTTGTGCTGATAATCGTTGTTATTATCGTGGTTGCACTTGTTAAAATAAATTTCAAGGCAAAGCTTGCACTACTATACTTTGTGAAATTAAAAGTCTCTTAAGCGCCATGTTGAACGAGTATGTCGTGTAAAACATTTTAAGGGGGTTTTCCATGAAATTCATTCAAAGAATATTCGGAAAAATTATAGCTATCGATAAATAGACGCTTTTCTATAATAAATGTATCAATAAATTTTTCGGCAATGCTAGGTTTATCGTTAAAATTATCATTATCAATTTTATTATATTTATCGATATCTTTGCATCCACTCGCCGGTATATTGATCGATTTTGCTTTAAATACTTTTAACAATATTGCACTAGATACTTTTATCGGTATCGCTATTGATAGTTTTAATATTTTGATCGATACTTTGATACATATTGCTATCAATAATATTATAGGAAGGTAAGCAATGATGTAAATTTTGTTTCAAAAAAAATGAGAGAGAGAGGTTCAGAGGGTGTAATTTCCTAGAAAACGTTCTAGCAAAAGAGAAACAGTTCCGGAAATTGCTTTAGAGCTTTGAACTCGCAGTAGTTAGACTTCGGGGCGTTGTGCCTGTCTTTTCCTCTGGGGTGTGGTATTTCATTGTCTTTTTGTCGCTCTTAATGATTCTGATTACAGATGGTACAAGGGTGATGCGGATCTTTGAGGAAAATTATTTCCGATAAGTATGGTAAGATTTATTTTTCAGACAATATATATTACCGGCTTTGGCAAACTTAGTCATGGAGCGATACTCGGTTGAACAAATGATCCAAACGTTGATGCTGATTAAAAAACGAAACGAAAAGGCAAAACGGAGCAAGGAAAAATCCAAAAAAAATTTCATCCAACAACAGGTCACTGTTTGCTATGGTTTTTGGGCTGACGGAGTCATCGGACCGTACTTCTTAGTAAATGAATCCGTTGAAGCTGTTACAGTGAATGGGCGTTATCGTAACATTATAACAAACTTTTTACGGCCTGGATTAGATGACGTTGCCACTTGCCTTACAGCGCATGAAACAATGGCCCTATTGCGAAAATCTGCGGTCTTATTAAATCACTCTATACATCCAGGCATTTGCAAAGGATGTAGCTTGAGCTGGAAATTTCTGATGTTGAGATCTAGCTACAAGCTTCAATACTTCCAGACTATTTCGACAATAGAAGCCTCGGCTAAATTATGTTGGAAAACATAATGGAATGGAGTTAAACTGGGCGCCATGTAACTCGGCAATTCCTCCCTATTAGGCACCTGATCAAATGATTAGATAGGGCGCAGACCAGATATTGTGTGGACCCCAACTCCGTCCAAATATTTCCATGCTGGTATGCATCGAGCGGCTGCTGGTGGAAAAACCTCTCATTACCCTTAATTTCAGAAGGTCTACCAGTTTTTTTGCTTTCATTTAGGGGATGTAAATGCAGTTAACTTATGGAATCGCTGCCTTAAAGAAGTTAATATGGCGATACACTTTTTGTGGTTCTGCTCCGGCTTTGCAAGGATTAGGTATGGGGCTTTTGTCAGCAAAGTATTGCAAAGACGAACAACTAACCCTTTTGACACCCAACGATCTGCTATGATTTATTTGTAGATCGTATGCATTTTAAAATAGATCGAAAAGAATGCGTAAACAGTACAATGGGCGTTCTTTTTTGCACGCAAAATTCTTTAGTTACGACAAAAAAAAGCTCAAACTATGGGAGTAATTACCCGTACCCGTACTACATATAAAATGTCTGGAAATTTCACAAAAGATCAAAACCAAAATAGATTTTCTTTAAAACTTTTGAATGACTCGCTAACGTCAAGGCCACTCACAAAAGAATGATTAGTAGGCAATGTTGTTTGGAAACAATTTACACCCTCGTAATTGATTTGTAGAGTTCTCAAAAAGAGTTACGCGTTTTGTTGAAGTGCAGGTACACCGTGAGGCTCATTAACTGAAACTTGTTTGATTTAATCACCACAGGTAAAAATGTACTCCTCGTATAAATGGGAAACCTAAACAGGTAGATCTTTCAGCAGATGAATTCTCAAGTGAGCTATAAAAAGGAGAATTTTTCATTTTGATCCGCATTGCAAAAGTATCACATCACAAGTTAACATATTCATATTCTAAGAAACTGTTAAAAATCTACAAAGTCTTTTCCATTATGAATAAGCGCATCACGGACATGCTCTTCTTACCGTATCCCGGCTCGCCGTTCACGGTGCATGTAAGTATTATTTCTTATACATATTTTTTTTAAGATTTTATCTTACGTTCTGTGATGTGTCAGTAATTTAATGACGATTTCTTTCCACTTTCAGGTTACATACAATTATGGCCAAAAGCCAAAAAATTTAATACCCTTAACGCCTATCTCTTCGATAACAATACCATTTCCAACGCCATCAACCACTCCATCATCACAAAATGATCAGCGTTTGCGTGCCGTTTTCAATCGTGAACAGATCGCAGCATTAGAGGAAGCATTTCGTAGAAATAACTTCTTACCTAAAGAGCGCAGATGCGAACTTGCAAGGCGCATCGGGTTGGAAGAGAAGCAGGTGAAGGATTGGTTTCAAAATCGTAGAGTAAAAGCGAAGCGAAACCAGCAAATTTTAACTCATAACGAAGCAGGTACGGAGAATGAAGTTGTTGATCAAAATTATGCTGCGAATTCGATGGGAGAGCCAAGAAGAATGAGGGAAGAAAAAGAAGACGTTATAAATCAAATAGTCATGTTTTTAGAAGGAAGCGCGGATATTAATATCAATAGAATTGCGATGCCACCGTTGAATGTGTTGTTGCCACAAATGCCACGGACAATACAAACGTGCTTGTGTACCGATGATTTGGACGATCTGCTAGATGTATTGAAGAAAGAAACCAGAGAAACTTACAAGTCACAACAAACAAGTCCGATATCGCAGTTAAAGCGGCGTAAAACCGACGACCATGAAGATGTGCCACCACCGCCACAGAAGAAAAAGCGATTAGAAATTCCTGATCAAAGCCGGTTTTATCCTCAACATTTACACTGATACAGAAAGTGATTATAGGAATAGTTTAAATTTTTGATTTTCTAGAAAATGTAGCACATAAGAATTAGAAATTAAGCAAGAATTGACGAAGTCAAGTTAACGATAGACCTTTTTTATTTATTTTTTTATTGATTTATATAAATTTATATGAAACAGTTTTAAAACTATATATGTATTTATAAAAATTTTAATAAATATGAAAACTAACATTTTATATGATCTTCTGATGTCCGATTGACCAAAAAATGGCGTAAAGTAATTCAGATTTATGTACACAAAATTATCTCCAATACAAAAAATGTCGAAAGGATGTAAATTTATATGTCAAAGGGAATGTTAACCATTTCCTAAAAAGGCAGATTAATCCCGAAAAAAGTTCATAGCGATATAAATTAGGAATGTTCGAGATTTCTCAAAATAAGATTTTCGGTCACTGACCGTAGCGTTTATTCAGCAGCTAAGGTTCTCTTTTCCATGGTTTAATCAGGCCTTAGCATAAGAAAGTTACCGAGCTCTGAAGTATACCAAAATTTTTTCGAAGGTCGGGTTTTTTTTTAATTAATGGTTTTTAGTTTATAATAAAAAGCAATTGATTTTTTAAGCAAAAAACACAATCGACTTCTTTGCTTACATTAAAGGGACACCCTTGAGGACCACTTTTCTAGTACACAAAAATTATCGAAAACGGTTCACGTGGTCTAAAGTTATCCGGTATACACATAAAAAAATATTCCGACTTTGGTTAGTATTTATTTAATGATTTTCACTAATTTTGGTGAATTCAGATATATTTCAATGGATTATTCGGTTAGTACCTGCAGTTGTACATTAGCATTCAGCACGTATAACAATATCCCTCGATCAAATGGGCCAATTTACAAAATTTATTCCGAAAATAATTAAAACAACCTGTTTCACTTAACAAATGGCAAAATGACTCAGCTTAACGACAACAATATATAATAGCTAATTGGAAGCATCTGTTGCCACATGTTGCCTATGAACATTAGGCATGTGACTTTTTCGATAATTAAATAAATTTGGTACAAAAAGTTTCGAGTCAACAACTCTGTACTGGAAAAAAACATTCATATATCGACACTTCAGTGGAAAATCGACCTACATATTTCGGCAGCCAGCTCGATAAAGCCCTATATCAGAAAAGTTTTCAAGAGCGCCGTATCTCAAATGAAAATGATGGGATAAAGCGTTTTTGAATCGGCAGCTGAGATAGGGCGTTTTTGAACAAAATTCTGAGATAGGGCGTTTTTCAGTAAAATTCTGAAATAGGGCGTTGTTGAATAGATTACTGAGATAGGGCATTTTCGAGCTGGATGCCGAGATAGGTCCATTTTCCACTCTGCTGTCGATATACGCTGGTCCTTTTTTAATTATTAAAAATGTTTACTAAGATAAATGAAAATTCCATGTCAATCAAATTATGACTGCGATTCAAAAATTTTTCCATATATGTATGTACACATCGATGGTCCTCTGCAATAACCATACCTAAAACTCAAAATTAAAAAAAAAAAACGAAATCCTTACATTTTTTCAGTCTCACCCCCTCAATCGGTAATACCACGGACACAAATATCACATACAATTGTTTGTCCGATTGGCGACGATTAAAGCGAGTCGCACAGTAGGCAAAGTTCAGATTCCTCTATAGAGACTTAAAATTAGAAAAGGCATATGCCTAATGTGGTACATATAACGTAAATATGTATACACATATTTGCCGGAAAAAAGCGCATGTGACATGTTCTTAAACATTTGGCTTACATTTAAACTCATTTCGACTTGAACGAAGGAAGGACTCGTATAGCGGGCGTATGCTGAGCTGCTTTTAATACCTTTAAGGCCAGACATGCCAAACACATGTGCTGGGGGAAAGCAACTAATGCTAACAACTGGCGCTTCTTCCCACATATCGCTTAATAGCGAATATATGTAGCCAAATGACAGCAACAAATTTACTCTTGAATCATTAAGAAGAGTAAGCGCAGAAAATTGTAAAAGTGTATCTTTTTTTATAACTTCTCATAAAAACAAAGCCAGTGTTCTAAATAAGTTTTAGAGCGCGTTCGGTAAACTGCTTTTACATGCTTACTACTATGTGTATATGTACTCGTATACGCTTATGTACATACTAGGAATGTTAATCATGGCCTTTTTTAGGTCCCGAAAGTACCGGGATTCTTCACGGGATTTTCGGGACCTGTAATTTGCACTGATGGCAATAATAGAAACTCTTTTTCTTGACCAGTATTGGCTATATTTCTTTTTTTATTAATAATTAATATTTTTTTATAAATATATTCGTGAATCTATGGGCCAAATATAGTAAAATTTTTCACTTTGAAGTCAGTAATTCAAAAATTATTAAAAAAATTCAGTGAAATTTGCTTAGAGAAGAAGTATGGGTATCGAATTAAGTAAGAAATTCTGTAGAATTTAATCAGATTAAATTTTTTGTGCATAAGGACTTTTAAGTATTGAAAATGTCCTTTGAAAATTTAATCCTGGAAATTTCGCAATATCTGTTTTTGAAAAAATTATATGTTAAGGATTTATATAAACTCGATAGCATCCTAGAATTTCGTCCTTCTAACTTTATCAGCTAAAAAGTTACCTATATGTCTATGTAAATCCAAAAAATTTAATTTTTTTAAATTCTGAGAACTTTCCTCTTTAATTTGGTACCCATATTTTTATTCTACATTGCATTGAATTTTTTAAATAACTTTTGGAATTAATCATATCTTTGAAAGTACAATTATTTATACTAGTTTTTTTTTCGTACTGTTCATACATATAAGCCACATTGATGTCGAATTTTAAGTAATTTAATTGCGCAATAACTTGCCAGCGCTTGGCAAAAAGTAAAATATTCTACCATACCTCCGCCCACATTTGGCATTTAAGCTCCTCTAAATTGAATACGATTTTTTTTTTAATTCATTCCACCAATGTTTTTTAAACCATGCGTTTTTTGATATTTTTTTTTGTTGTAGCATCCCTCAACTACAATGTTAAATCAAATTAAAATCTGTTTTAATGTTAATTTTTCCCCACCAATAAACAGCAATGCCACAACTTAATTTGCTTAATATCCTTAAATATTCCACAGCTGCTAGCCTAGTTGGCCACGCCGGTGTCATTCGGCTTGCTGGTTTAAACGCCCATTGGCCATATAATAAATAATTAGTTAGTTGTTTACGCGCATTTTGTTGCTTCATTAACTTCGTAAATGATTAAATTTGACATTTGCATTCGATCCGATTAACAAAAGCTTCAACGTCTGACATTTGTACATTTAATTACTGGCTTGGTTGTGTAATTACGATGAATGAATGTATGTAATGTAAATTGGCATACATACATACATAGTTAGTTAATTGCCCAGGTATGTTGTGTTTAATATGTATTACTGCCCATCTAATGAACTTTTGTTGTGCGGCGTTGTTATGGTTTTGTATTGCAATCAGTGCATAATCATTATCTGGCTTTTGCAATCACACAGTCAGGCACAAAATAATAACTAAATACCTACTATGCAAATGGAATTCATGAATATTTTGGGAGTATGTGTGCTTCTTTTTTTGCTTTTTTGCTTTTGTGAGAAATGCATACTTAAATTGCATGTGACAAGACTTGACAAAACAAGTGTCAGGTTTTGCTCATACACCTTCACCATCAAACTTCTAATGATTTATTATTAATATGTTAATATTTATGTATATAATTTCGCAAATAATTTAAGAGCTGAAAATTTCCTAACATTAAATTCAAAATTCAGTGTGATCGCAATATTCATTTCGCTGAAAATGCGCTACAGTAAATAAAACCCCTCAGAGTGAATACATACATACATCCAGTGATTGGACTTGAAAAATAATTTGTGTGGTAGAATCAGGAAAAAAAATGTGGTAGATCTCAGGTTTTGGATCAAACTTTGTACAAAAATTAAAAAAAAATCTGCAAGGTTCGCCTAAATTGCAAACATTTTAATTATAATCTAAAAAAATTAATCTTAGATGAGATTAATAGAGTACACGATTGAAGTAAAGCTAAAAATTGCGTTGTTTTGGAATTTTTTTTTTTCTTGACAGTGTAAAGCAGCTCCTTCCATATCAAAATATGTTTCGAACATATTTTAAGAGGTTTCTGCAACCTTGCGGAGTGCTGCCAGCTTTTTATTTTATCACAGCACGATATAGCGAACAAATATGGCACATTCCAGAAACCGCTACTTGGGATTTTAGAGTTTGACAATTCTCAAGTAAAAGTAAATAACGCCTTAGAAACTTTAGATGCAGTGAAATTTACCAATACTTTCACAAAAATCGCCGTTTCTTAACATTTTCGCTTTAACTTTTTTTATATATCATATACTATTTTGCAATTTAACACAATTGTAGTATATCAGAATAAGTCACTAACAACAACAAAGCCACACGCCT